CTGAACAGAATTTCAGATAAACATGGGGTAAAATTTGATTTATTCTGCTTTAAGTACAAAAATTAAATATTAAATTTATCCAAAGACACCAAAATTGACAATTGCTCCAGTATTAAATTGTTGGGGAAGGGAGGGAAATCTACCAAACCAGTAAGAAGCTTCCTCAATGCCACAACACTTCTCAGGACTCAAATTACTCAGTCTTCAAAGCAGATTCAGCTTGGTACAGCTGCCTATTTTCTGCGCATTAAAACATTAATTGCTTGTCAATATAATGTAAATTATCTTCTAATGGGCAATTAACATTATGAAAGAAGTTCAGTTTTATAATAGCTTCTCTAACTATCTAAACATCAATCCTACATCTACATCATATAGTGATAATTTCTTTTGAAAAATGCTTAATAGCCACTGTGTCAATCTGCAGGGCTGTTGGTACAATGCACTAATTACTCACATAATAGTTGCCATCTGAACAGTATTAAGCTTTAGCCACCTGAATTACAAACCAATGTGTATATTTTAGCTAAACTTTCCCTCCTAAAAAGTCCATTCTGGTACTTGAAAATAGTGACACCTACTGGATCCAAAATGTTTACCCAAACCAGTATTTACTGTAGAACAGAGCAAGAAGTGAATTAATGGCAGCAAATGACAAGGAGGTGGTTGCTTCCTTTGAACACTGAGCATTGTAAGCCATCAGTTTTCATTTAAGCTACTTGCTGTATCTTGGCTCATTTCTTGCATCTCTTCTTAAGGATTTGTTCTGAAAGTGGCTGACGCACTCGAATAAATTCATTGTTCCATTTCTTCTGGGTTGAGGTATGGTGTGCAGTCACCTATCTTCTTAAGGTGGACAATGCTAACTCTTTCAGAGCACATTGGACATACATTTTCACTCTGCAACATGCTATTATAAAAGAAATATTTCAGGTCAAATTACATTCCTGACAATATTTTTAACCACATGTTGGGCTTGATGCAGGAATTAATAGGGAAAAATTCTGTGTTCTGCCATGCAGGTAATCAAACTAGATAATTGTAGCTGTTCTTTCTGGCCTTAATCTATCAATTTTAGTAGGGGTGGAGGGGAAATGATTCTGTTGTAAGGTAGCAAATACAGTAGAATCTCAGATATACAGACACCTGAGGAATGGAGATGTTTCTAAATTGGAACAAAACATCGTTCTTTCAAAAGTTTACAATTGAACGTTGATTTACTAGAGGCTTTACAATACAGAAAAAAATGCCGCTTTTTTTGAGTAGGATTTTTGTTGTGGGGGTTGGCTGCTGCCTGATTCTGTAGTTCCAAATGAGGTATGAGATTGACTGGGCAGTTCAAAACTGAGGCTACGTCTACACTGCAGGCTTCTTGCCCTAGAACTGTTTTGTGGAAGAGTTCTTGCTCAAAAGTGTGTCCACACTGCCATGTGCTTTTGCACAAGAAAGCTCTGATGGCCATTTTAGTCATAGGGGTTTCTTGCGCAAGAAACCCCTATGACTAAAATGGCCATCAGAGCTTTCTTGTGCAAAAGCACATGGCAGTGTGGACACACTTTTGAGCAAGAACTCTTCCACAAAACAGTTCTAGGGCAAGAAGCCTGCAGTGTAGACAGAGCCTGAGGTTCCACCATAACTACTTACAATTAGGAAAGAAGGGGTTTCCTGAAAGCTGCTATAGTAAAGCACAAACTGTGACTGAAGCTCTTGGAAAGCTGTCTAGCCCACTATATTGTGGAGATGAGCTATGATAGTAACTATTTAAAGCTCCAGTCTCATTTGAGAAATCAAATATGCAGTCTTACAGCTACTGAGGTTCAAAGTAAAATCTGCAAATCCAAAAGGAGTCAGTTCATAGAATAAAAGAATATTGAAAGGGAAGGCTCACTCCTGAGAAGGCAGTTCTGTTTAAAGGTACACTAACTGAGTGGAGGAACTGCTCCTGCTTCCCCACAACTGCCAATCAGGAGTTATTCCCTTACTTAAGGCAGAAGAGCTGTGGAGAATGCACTGATAAGGTACATTCTGACCCAGATGTTATGAGGGTGAGTGAATGGCCCTTTGAGTCTTAAGAGGACAATATGGACAGTTGTGACTCCTCAGATCAGTACTGGTGTATTTCTGCACTGACTTCTAGGAGAAGGGAAGGAAAAAAAGTGTTGGGAAGCTGTGGATGCCTACTGCAATTTTCTTTTAAAGGTTGCACCAGTGTCTGCCTTCTCTAGTTGTAGCATGCATTTGACATGACCAAATTTGTTCATGCTGAAGTAGCACTATGGTGAAAATGTGGAATACAAATCAATGATTGGCCTTCAGAATGAAAAGGTTAAAGCTTCTTTCTGGTTTAATTCACTTTAAAAACTTTGGAATCTTT